GGTGGGAGGTGGGGGTGGGGGGAGGAGGGGGGTGGCAGGCCCTTTGGTTCTGGTAAATCTACGAGTCTCCTTAGTGAAAGTGATCTTTCTTCTATTGCTAATTGCAACCGCACGCTTCCACGAATAGGATCACTCCATTTTTCTTTGTCTCCTTTGTCTATTGCTTTGTTCGCCAATTTCAATAATCAGCCCTCAGTACTGCTGTGCTAAGGTTAAGAAAGTTAAAGGTATTTTTCCTTGAGATTTTCAGATATTTTAGATTAAATGGCGAATGAATTTTTCTGGAAAACTCGAGAGGAAAATATCCACAAGTCTCCTTGAAAATTTCGATCTTATTAAAGAAAATTTAACATCGCCTAAGGGCTTATATGTGGTGTTTTTCCTTAGCGAGGCATACAATCGCGTTCATCACGGATTGAGCAGGTATAAAATAAGAGCAATATTTTACTAGCACAATGGAACTATTTAGAAAACGTTCAGCAACGTCGGAGACTTTAACGCAAAAGTAGAAAAAAGAACTAACTGCATCCCCGGCGCAGTCCTATCTAATTATTCCTTCACTTTTGGGTCATCTCACAAGATGACAGGGAGAAATATTTTAGAAATATTATGAGTTCAGGTGATCGATGTCGATTACTGGTCTAAACACAAGGGGAGGAAAAGGAATCATTGCTAATATTTGCGTAGTCCAATATTTTGTGTATTTCATCAATAATGAGCCTTTCCCCAAAATAAATAGGAAAAATATTCCGGCTAAATACATCATGGTGCATTCAAGCGGAACTATGCCTAGAGCGTTTAAAAAGTGCGCATAGGTAAGAGAAATATTCGATTTTTGTGTGGTACATAATATTCGTATGTATACATTATGCAAAGTTAAAAACCACGAGAAAAAAAGAAACAAAAATACACAAGACCTGAGTTACTGTATCATTGTCAGTCGTATTCTAACACATCAGGCGCGAAATTCCTCGAGGAGGAAAGTAGAGGGAGCATGCGGTGCTGGTCACGATGAGAGGATTTCGAGTTTTGATTAAGTTGAGCGAACGCATACCTTTCAAGATTCGACACGCGAAAACAAGTCGGCCGAGATTACTCGGAAGTTAAAATTCCTCAATTAATTTGAGAGACAAAAACTTTCCGTGTGAAGTGGCCATGTTTAGATATG